TGTTCGGTTTATGGTGGACCCGTTTTCATTAAAACCATCATTGGCACCGTCTGTGGGGATCGCTACGAAGAGCCGTGTTCGCAAACCCGTTACTTGGTTATACTGTGTTATACGCCTAGTTCCCTGCGACGATCATGGGATCACAGAGCCGATTCCTGAGGGCGCCAGCCTCCGATATGGGACAGCAGATCTCGCCCCCCAACGGAGGCCGAGCCGCTCCTATTGGCGCCCGGCGAGCCCACTCGACCCCGCCCACGCAGAAAGTCGCCCGCGCTGATCTCGGGGCCAACAACGCAAAGCCCGTGGTCCCCGAGGCCCGCGTCCCTCATCGCGACCCGGAGCGGCATGAGAAGCCTGTCGCCTAGGGATGTCAATCGGGCCAGCCCACTCGGTTTCGGGTCGGGCTAATCGGATCGGGCTAATCGGTTAATTAATATTTTATTCTCGAGTTCGGTTTGGCCCTAACCCTAAACTTCGGGTTGTCGGGCTAATCGGGCGGGTTGAACAATCTGAACTAAAATTAGAAACTGAAAGTGAGTACTCATATTTAGAGTAGGAATAATAACGGGGCGGGGCGGGGCAAAACGGGAGTAGCATTTAGTGTTTTATATATATATATATATATATATATATATATATATATATATATATATATATATATATATATATATATATATATATATATATATATATATATATATATATATATATCATGGTTGCAGTAGGCGCTAGGCGCTAGGCACTAGTCGGGCGGCGCTAGGCGGGCACCAAAAAAATTTTAAAAAATAGTAACAGACTTGTAGTTCGACAATTTTAATGAGGTTGTTTTCAACGTTCACTCAAATAACACATCTAAATAAATGAAATAATGATAATTTATAAGTCATAATGTCATAATAATATTAAAATCAATAATTAATGAAAGACGACATTGGTCAAAATCGGTCAAAACGGTCAAAAATGGACAAAATCGGTCGACTCGGCCGAGTTGACCGACTCGGCCGAGTTTGGCCGCCTAGGCGACCGGCCGAGTTTTGGCCGCCTTTAGGCCAAAACTCTAAGGCTCGGTGCCGCCTAGCGCCTAGGCGGCCGAATTTTGCAACCTTGATATATATATATATATATATATATATATATATATATATATATATATATATATATATATATATATATATATATATATATATATATATATATATATATATATATTTATTTATTTATTTATTTATTTCTTTTTAATTATAATAATTATTTTATGTGTGCTAGGTTTCATATCACTTCTATAATAAAGAATAATTTTCAGTAGTTCGGGTTGTCGGGCTAGCCCTTTTAATTTCGGGCTAGCCCTATCGGGTATCGGGCTAATCGGTTTCGGGCTCGTCGGGCTAATGTGTTTTATCGGGCTAGCCCGTTCGGGCCATAGCCCTGTCGGTTTCGGTTTTTATCGGGTTGACCCATCGAGTTCGGGCTAAATTGACATCCCTACTGTCGCCAACGCAAACGTGAGCAACAGGGAGACCGCGCCCCAGGACCACGGATCGGGGTGGGGCTGGATAGGTGATGTAGGCAGGCATGCGCACGATGACGAGTCAGAAGGAGAGAGTGCCCACCAAGCCGTGGTAGCCGGCCCAAGTGGCAGATGCCCAACCCGCCCTACGGTCGTCGGTGGGTGGGCGGAAGGCATGGAGGCTAAGATAGCCGAGTTGCTCAAATGGAAAGAAGGGGGCGGGGTATCTATCCCGAAGATTGAGGTTACCCCACCCTTCACTCGGAGGATCATGAGAGAGCCCATTCCTTCCACCTTCAAACCACCCAGCATCACGCGCTTTGACGGCCAGGGTGACCCGCAAGAGCACATAATGGCTTACTAGGCTACCATGATGCTAATGGGATCATCGGAGGCCATGATGTGCAGAGCCTTCTTTTCCACCCTTATCGGCCAGGCGCAGCGCTGGTTCACAAGCCTCAAAGGAGGGACTGTGGACTCTTTCCATGAGCTGGTTGTGAAGTTCATCACCCACTTTATGAGGGGAAGGAAGATCCGAAAGCATTTCACTCATCTCACCACTGTGAAGCAGGGAGTTGGGGAATCACTTACCGACTTTCTGGCCCGCTGGCGGGCGGAGGAAGCGAACGTAGAGAACATCGATGATAAATCGGGCGTGGTTATGTTCGTCAACGCCCTAAGGGCGGGAGACCTGTACAAAAACCTACGACGCAAAACCCTCAACACCTATGCAGCGCTGATGGCGAAGGCTAACAGGTATGCCGAGGCGGAGGAAGTGAACCGCTAAAAAGGCCGCGAAGAAGATATCCTCGGTAAAAGGTCCCGACCGACCGAGGAGCCTGTTAGACCGGGAAAGAGAGGGGCAAACCCCGCGGCAGAAAGGGCCATTGGGGGGAAGGGAAAAGCAGACGCTGGAGAAGGGACGATGACATATAGGGCGCCTCCACCGTGGGCACCCCGCCCCCCGATGAGGAGCCTTCCGGCGGCGCCCCTCACCCCTATCAACGCCCGACCTAGTGAAGTGTTAGCCTACGCCGAGCAATGCCAAATGATTAAATTTCCCGAGCCACGGGCACCGGGCATCCCCGCCGAAGGCCGGGGGCAATACTGTCGATTCCACCGCCGACCCGGGCATAGTACGGACGAGTGTCAGGCCTGGAAGAAGGAAATAGAGGCCCTTATCCAATCAGGCCACTTGGGCAATTTCATATATTGGAACAAGATGTACTATGGGAACGTATGGAGGAGGGAGACAGCAAAGGTTGGCCCTGAGAGTCCCAACCCCCCGAAGGGAAGGATAAGCGGGGGCGCAAGCGATAAGGGGAAACGCCCCGTGATTAACGTGATCTTCGGCGGATGGTCAGCAGGCAAAAGGGAGGAGGAATACGTGGGGTCCGTCGAGAGAGCACCCGTCGTGAAGAGACAACGCAAGGAACTGATCGTTTTCACTAATGCCGACCTCCCACGTGGAGGAGCTTCGTCCAAAGAAGCCATGGTTATCGCAATGGAGATCAACGGCACTATAGTCAGGCGAGTGCTGCTCGACACCGGGAGCAGCATAAATGTGATGTATCACGATATCTTTATCAAGCTGGGATTTGCCCAAGACCAGCTGAAACCGATCAAAACTCCGCTGGCCGGATTCACTGGGGACACGGTTGAAACAGAAGGCATGATTCGACTACCAGTGGAAATCGGCGACCCGCCGCACGCACTGAAGGCAGAAATGGATTTCGTGGTAGTCAGGATAACCTGCGCCCACAACATCATATTGGGCAGGCTGGGGTTGGTAGAGATAGGGGGGATCTTATCCATGGAACATTTGTGCTTGAAGTTCCACACCCCCAGCAGGATAGGGATAGTACGCGGCGATCAGCAGTCCGCGCGAGAGTGTTACAAGAAGGCCTGCCGAAACATCGACCGACTCCCCGTACACACGGTCGAAAAGCAGGGAGGAACAGAACCGGAAAGGAGGCCTGAACCGGCAGTAGAGTTAGAGGAAATACAGCTAGACCCGTCTCAGCCCAACAGGACGGTGAAAATAGGAAGAGGGCTCGAAGGTGGCCTGCGGGAAGAGATCGTCCAAGTCCTCAGGCGATACGCGGGCGTATTTGCGTGGGGGCCGGAGGATATGCCGGGCGTAGATCGATCGGTGATTACACACCGCCTGGCAGTGGACCCCACACATCGACCCGTCAAGCAGAAGCGCCGCCACCTATCCGCTGAGCGGAGGGCGTTCGTGAAAAAGGAGGTAGACACGTTGTTAGCTATAGGGCACATCCGCGAAGCCATGTATCCCGAGTGGTTATCCAACGTAGTGTTGGCACCTAAACCACCGACGTGGCGGATGTGCGTCGACTATACGAATTTGAACAAAGCTTGCCCCCAGGATCCCTTCCCGTTGCCCCGTACAGATCAACTGGTGGACGAGACAGCTGGGTGCGAGCTGCTGAGCTTCATGGACGCGTTCAAAGGGTACCACCAGATCTTCATGGCGGAGGAGGATGAGGAGAAAACCGCATTCGTCACCCCGGATGGAATCTATTGCTACAAGGTAATGGCCTTTGGTCTAAAGAACTCGGGGGCCACGTTCACACGAATGGTGGCAGAGATCTTCAAAGGCCTGTTAGGAGACATCATGGAGGCCTACGTCGACGACATGCTCGTTAAGAGCAAGAAGGCCGAATCTCATCCACAGTATTTGACGCGGTGCTTCGAAGTCATGGAGCAACACCACCTCCGCCTTAACCCGAAGAAGTGCGCATTCGCCGTAAAAGGGGGAAAGTTCCTGGGCTTTATGGTGACACACAGGGGGATTGAGGTTAACCCGGAAAAAGCGAAGAACATCCTCGACATGCGACCCCCTAGGTCCATAAAGGATATTCAGCGCCTAAACGGTAAGTTGGCGGCCTTGAGTCGCTTCATGTCCAAGCTAGCGGAACGATCACTGCCTTTCTTCCAAGTCATGAAGAGGAGGGACGGATTCGCGTGGAACGACGACTGCCAGGAGGCGTTTGACCACTTTAAAGCTTACTTAGCCTCCGCACCTGTCCTTTTGAAACCAGAGCGTGGGGAAGTCCTGTACGTCTACCTGGGAGTGGCCCCGGCGGCCGTTAGCTCGGTGCTCCCGCGGGAGGACAACGGAGTCCAGAGACCTATCTATTATGTGAGCAGGGCCTTACATGATGCGGAATTGCGATACACCCCCCTCGAGAAAACCATCTACGCATTAATACGCATGACCCGGAAGTTGGTGTACTACTTCCAAACCCACCCCGTAGTGGTACTGACGAACCAGCCGCTGGGCTCGGTGATGAGAAACCCGATCTCCTCAGGAAGAATGATGAAGTGGGCCATTGAGCTGACCTAGTACAACATCGAGTACAGACCTCGGGTGGCCATAAAGGGGCAAGCGTTGGCCGACTTCATAGTGGAATGCACGACCCAAGAAAATGGATTAGATGGCCAGGCCACCACCGAACCCGAATGGGAGATGTATACGGATGGGGCTTCCAGCCGAAAGGGTTGCGGAGGCGGCATGGTTCTAATATCCCCCGAAGGGTTCAAGGCGTATCGAGCGTTCCGTTTCAACTTCCAGCTATCTAATAACGAAGCAGAGTACGAGGCTCTAATCGGGGGGCTACGGTTAGCCCAGACCATCCCGGTCCGACGCATTAAAATCAAATCGGACTCCCGCCTGGTAGTGGGACAGGTAAACGGCATATTCGAGACCAAGGAGAACAGGATGCGGCAGTATAAAGAGGTGGTGAAGCAATTACTTGCAGGGCTGGAGCGATGGGAGTTACAACAAATCCCGAGAGCGGAAAATGGGGAAGCTGACCTACTGTCGCGCTTAACACAAGGGGTCGAGGAACACCTCGAGTACATATCACGGATTGCCCAAATCACAGACATAGACAACCCGAGTATAGAGAGAGACGAGATCCTCACTGTCTCGCCCGCCCAAGACGAGTGGATACGCGAAATGATCTTGTATAAAACCGAAGGCGTCGCTCCGGGGGACCCCGCACGGGCGCGGAAAGTAGTTTTAATGGCTCCCACCTACCAAATCTACGAAGATAGACTTTTCAAACGATCTTTCGGAGGACCCCTGTTGCGATGCCTTACGAAAGCCGAATCCGAGCGAGTGATGTCAGAACTCCACGAAGGTATGTGCGCCGCGCACCAAGGCGCTAACACGCTCGCATGGAAAGTGATCTTACAAGGATACTACTGGCCGAGGGTCAGGACGGACTGTCTGGAATACGTAAAACGGTGTGCAACCTGCCAACATTTTGCGATCTTGCCCGGTCGTCCCGCGACGTATTATACCCCAGTTACTTCGGCCATCCCGTTTGCGAGGTGGGGCATCAATCTGCTGGGCCCGTTCCCAAAGGGCGTCGGTGGCCTTCGATTCGTAATCGTGGCTGTAGATTATTTCTCCAAGTGGGTAGAAGCAGAAGCCCTGGCATCAATCACCGAACACCAGTGCCGCAAGTTTGTCTGGAAGAACGTTTTCACGAGGTTTGGATTACCGTTGCAGATCGTGTCGGATAATGGGAAACAGTTCGATAGTGCAGGTTTTGGACAATTTTGCGCATACTACGTGGTCGAACATACCAAAGTGGCGGTGGCGTATCCGCAGGCGAATGGGCAGGTAGAAAACACGAACAGAACCATCCTAGACAGCCTAAAGAAAAAGGTCGACGCAACAGGGGTAACTTGGCATGAAGAATTGCTGTCGATACTGTGGGCTTATCGGACACCACCGCGGAGGGCAACCGGGGAGACACCATTCGCTTTTGCGTACGGCTGCGAAGCACGGTTACCCGTAGAAGGGCGCATACAGTCCGGAAGAATGCTACAATAAGAGCACGGCCAAAACGACGACGATAGGAGGGTGGAGTTGGTTTTGTTGGAAGAAAGGCGGGAACATGCACGTAAGCACATGGCAGAGTACCAGCGAGTTGTCAAGCGAGACCATGATATCCGTGCGCGCCCAACGCATTTTCAAACGGGGAACCTGGTACTCCGACGCAGAGAGGCCAGCAAACCTTTGCAAGGAGGTAAACTGGCCAAAAATTGGGAAGGACCTTACAAGATAGCCGCCCTCGTGCGGGAGGGTACATACAAGCTGGAGACTATCCAAGGCTACCTGATAGACCGGCTATGGAATGCGCACCACTTGAAGCGTTTCTTCCAATAATCCAGGCTACGGAGGAGGACACGAATAAACTTCTAAGGTACCCCTTAGAACCTACGCATTACATACCTCGCTTTTAGAATTTACTTGCATTTTTATTCTACTAGCGCACACACGCGTACAACACCTGGTTCTACGGAACTAAGTACGTAACCAGCGTGCCACCCCAAAAAAAAAAAAAAAAAAAAAGGTATAGTGTGTGGTGCCAGCGTGAGGCAGCAGGCGGCCCCCACACTAGTATGCCATCCACAATGAGCATACATCCACCTGGGCCTGCTGGGAAAGGTACGCAGCCCAGCGTGCACAAAAAAAAAAAAACGCAACCATATCTAAAGTTTGCAGGCAATCGCAACAGAGGAGCAAAACGAAAGAGAACTATATTAGATGGAGGACGATGCCAAGAACGAGACTAGCACAATGTCAACTATAGAGAAAACCGAAAAAAAAAAAAAAAAAAAAAAAAAAAAAAAAAAAAAAAAAAAAAAAAAAAACAAGTGACCGAGACAAGCCCTCGGTTCACTCGCACGGTGGAGCGGTAGATCCTTCTGCCGACCCGGAAAAACCGGCTGATGACGGCGCAGTATAGCCATCTGCGCTGGACGGGTTCACACTTCCGGCCCCGCCGGTACCAGGACCTGAGGACGGATCAGAAGGCGCGGCAATGGCTGAACTTATCCCTCGCCCAGGTCTCTCAGGCGTAATCAGGAAAGCACTCCCGGCCGGAGAAGGGGTCGTGGGTATCACTGGTTGAGCCGATGGTTGCAGTGGCAGAAGCTCGGGCAATTCTCATCCACCTATGCTGAAGGTGGAAAAGCGACGACTAAGTTTACCGTACAAAACCTCTTGCATCTCTCGCTGCCCCATATAAAAAGCGATTTCACCCTCGCGAACCATCCGATTCTGTCCCTTCGCCGTCTCCCGCAACCAGACTTCGGCAACAGGTGTCATAGCAATACGCCCCCCGGGCGTAACTGCCCAATCCTGAAGAGCACGCAGGGAGGGCGGACAGATGAAATGATGAGGATCCTACGCCTCTTGCCAGTCCGTCATAGCCTCCACCATCGGCTGACCCGACATGCCGGTGGTAGACAACCAGGTTTGCAATAAGACCGGCATCTGCGATAACGCATGCTCCTCTGCCACCCGGAAGAACTCATCGAAGTTCCGCCAAGCCTGGATCGCGGCCTGCACGGCGGCTGCGTGGGCGGCCTCCTGCCGGCTGTGTGCTGTTCCTGTAGGGCCGTCATCGCATGCCGCAATTGTCCGAGCTCGACGTTCAAGGCCTCCCGGGCTCGCTCTGATTCTGCATGCTCACGAGACACCGACTCCAGCCGTTGTTGGAGCCCCACGGCTTGCATAGTCACCTGAAGCAGGACGAAGACCAAACGATTAAAAAAAAACGGTAAAACACTCACGTTCATACTGTCGCCCACGAGGTGAGAGTTGAGGGCATCCAAGGAGCTACCGTCCATCCAGAACCGCTTGGCAGGGGTCACCATATCATGCACGCTACGCCGGATGAATTCAATGTGACTAGGTTTGTACGGACGCAATGCCCGGGAACCGGTGGAGTTCCGCACTGTAAGAGGATCCTCCAGTTCAAACTCCTCGCACCTCGGCGGGGAACGCGGCGAGGGAGAGACGGAGCGCTCAGGAGGAGAAGTTTGGCCCACCCCGGAGGGCTCCACGGGGTCCACCAACATGGACGAAGATGGCCCACCGTCCAAGGTGGGATCCGGCAGCGCGCCAACCATCGAATCCTCATCGTCTGAATGCACGGTGGTGTGACCGCGAGTCCGATAGGCATGATACATCTGGGGAGTGCTCCTAGCCGGAGCTGGACAAAAAAAAAATTATTATTATTATAATGTGGCGCGAAAAAAAAAAAAAAAGGTGGCGTACGTACGGAAGGAAAAGCGATCGCTGAGCTGAGTGATGTGTACCGGGTCATGATATCTCCACTGGTCGTAAGGGCCGTCGACACAGAGACGCGCACGATGGGACTCCAATCCGGCATACGTGGATGGTGCAACATGGTTGATACGAGCGGACCAATGATTGGAAAACCCCAATTCAGAGGCGGCACGGGCGTACTCTACGTACACAAATTTTTCCTTCCAATTCCGCAGCGCGGGTGCAGCAGTCAAGAAAGTATAGCTGGGATGCAGATGGAGGTATAAAAAGGAACCCGTCTGGCCCATGCTGAACACATGCAGAAACAGAGGCAGGGATGGGGACACACTAACCTTACGGCAGCGAGTGAGAAAGCATGTGAGGAGCCTATGGACGTTAGGCGTAAGTTGGCAAGGTACGGCATTATGCGCACGCAGGAACGCGGACACTAGAGGATGTAGAGGGAATTGCAGACCGGCTTGAACGGAATGAAAATGAACTGTCACCAGAAGGGGGCTTGGGGGCTCAGTCATGGTGTCTGTGGCGCTGGGGATGATCATCCTGACTCCTTCCCCCAAATATTCGTCTAACGACATTAGTTCGGCATTAGACAGCCGGGACGGAATTCCGCGAAGAACGGCGAGGTCCAGGACACGACAAACCGGGGATGCAGGCGGGGAACCATCCACGTGGTAGGCCAGGAGGGATCCGTACCCAGTATAAAAGGGGGGGATCGTAATCCAAAGGAGACAAGGTGTGTGAAGTAGCGAGGGTGGCAAGAATCAGTGAGTTAGAAGCAAGCGGTCGCAAGATCGATTCCGGATAACAACAGTCATTGATCGTCAATCGGGGCTTACTCTTGGGCTTGATAGTGGGCCGGGGAACCTGGGCCTGGTGTTCTAGCATAGTATAGTCACCCCAAATCTTCTTTATCCATTCTGTTCGGTTTATGGTGAACCCGTTTTCATTAAAACCATCAATTTGATCCCACATTGAAAATGTTTAGAAAATGAGCTCTTGAACTCCTCTATATAAGAGGAGCAATGCTACTTTTACAAACATAATTGCTTGCCCATCAATGTGGGCAAGTATTGAGATGTCCAAAGATTTTTTTTTTTTGTACTATTGACCCGATAAATTATGCTGTGGAATTGTGTCCACATTGCAAGGTAGACACTATTCCAAAATTGTTCATAATTATGAATATATAGTTCAACAATTATGAACATATAGTTTTAAAATTATGAACATAGTGTTGTGAGCATAATTATGAACATATAGTTATGTAATTACGAATATAGAGATTCAAAACTTTTTTGTAAGTAAATGTCACATGGAAATTAAATAAAATCTATTAATTCTTCCAAAAGGCTGAACCCCAACCCTAAGGGCCCCCTACACTCCGACCCGACAAAGCATTTGGGATGATGTAAATCATGGTAACTCAACTGAAAAATAAAATCTATTAATTGGCAATATTATATATGGTATTATATTCTATAATATAATATAATTGATAATATTATTGTTCAAGTATAATAAAAATATTATTGTTCAAGTATAAAATAAAATTAAAATAATAACAATAACAACAAAAACAATAATAATAATAATAATAATAATAATAATAATAATAATAATAATAATAATAATAATAATAATAATAATAATAATAATAATAATAATCCAAACAAAACTATATACAAAATAAAATTAAAATTAAAAAAAAAAATAAGAAGAAGACATAGGTGGCTCCCCTTAGTAAATGATGTGGGATCATTTTGATCCCACATTGATAATGATTGGAAAGAGGAGCTCTTGATCTCCTCTATATAACCATACAATTGCTTGCCCATCAATGTGGGCAAGTATTGAGAAGTCTAAAGACTTTTTATAAATGAGAAGTTCAAAGGCTCTTAATTTTTTTTAGTACTATTGACCCGGTAAATTGTGTTGTGGAACCGTATCCATCTTGTAAGATAAACACGGTTCCAAAATTGTTAATAATTATGAGTATATAGTTCTACTATTATGAACATAATTTTGAACATATAGTTTAGTAATTACGAACATAAAGTTCTGTAATTGTAAATATAGAGTTCAATAATTATGAATATGGAGTTCAAAGATTATGAATATATAACTTTATAATAATGAACATATAGTTTAGTAATTATAAACATGGAACTGTGTACACCTTGCAAGGTGGACACAGTTCCATATCATAACTATTCGTGTACACTTTCTCAACCTATTGAAGACCAACGTGTCAAAATGCTTTTATTTAAGAAACCTTATCGTAATGGCTTCTTATTTTAGTTTTTTTTTTAATTTTTTTAATTTATTAGGGGGTTTAAGAAAGATTAACCCAAAACGTATATGAGTTGTTTTAGTTTTTAGCAGTTTGGAGTAAATTGCTAAGTTATTCAATAATATTTTTGGTTTTTTGTTTAAATATAAAATGTTAAACAGACGGATTTCTTAAAATTTTGACGAATTTGTCAAATAATCAAATTAGAATAACAACAACAACAACAATAATAATAATAATAATATCAACAACAACAATAATAACAACAACAACAATAATAATAGTCCAAAAAAAAAAACTATATACAAAATAAAATTAAATTTTTTTTTAAAAAAAAAAGAGTCACGAGCTCCCTTTGTAAATGATCTGTGATCATTTTTATCGCACATTAAAAATGTTTGAAAAGATAGAGCAATGATCCTCTTACAATCTATATCTATATTTATATATCTATATATATATA